GTGGTGGTGGTGGGCCTCCAGCCAACCTCCCGAAATTCCGAATAGACATTGGGATGTGGAGGTTTCTGAAGTTTTCATACCCAGAGTCGGGAAGAGCCTTGATCCGAAACACAAAAAAACACAGCTCGAATCCCAGTTTCATAATCCTGCACGGGAGTTTTCGTGAAGACATATGCCGAGTCTTGATGCATTCGCACCGCCATTTCCCTCCGAGCCTTAAGCCCTAAATTAATTCTTCAGGCTCCTCATGCCGAAGCCACAGCTTCTATATAAAGCCGTTTCACAAGACTCCTTATTGTAGCTGGGGTCCGAACCTCTGATGCCAGTGGCTAGATTGGGACAGCACGTGGCTCCCTTTCCGATCAGCGGCTTGTTTCCTCAGCCGCAAATTGCACAAAAGCTTAACATGCCAAATGCTGGGTTTAGGAAACGCACAGTTTGTTCAGTTGCGTTTTGAAGGTCACAAGCACTTTAGGACACACAGACACACAGCTGTACCTATCTGAGGGATTAGCTGATATCCAAGGCACAGGAGACGCAGCAATGCATCCGAAATAGGCGCCGCGCAAACCTGTCCTTGGTGTTTACTGCTGCCGCAGTTGGCCATGCTGCCGGGGAACATGCAAACAAAGCCGACAATCTTTGACCTTGCGCGTGCAGAGGGTACGACCAGGTGGATGACGTCTCGAAAATCCAGCTGTACATCCGATGCCATCGCATCCAATGAGAACACAAGGCAAAGCGAACCGGGCACTTTTTCGTGCACCAGCGAATCGCGATGTATGCAACATCATGCGCAGACCGCCCGAGGTCGTCGGCCTTCGCCTCGCCATGCAGGCAACCATCTGGACATGAAAATACATGCACTGCCGGATATTCTATTTCACGGATTCTTTATTCGCCTCGCCATGCAGCCAACCCTCTGGACATCAACATACATGCACTGCTGGACCCTCTTCTGCATCCCCATCCCTGCTGCTTACTGCCAGGGGTGCAGCCATGATATGTACATTAAAACAAGCCCATGCGAAGCGCATCGCGTCCAACTCAAGGACTACTCACTCCGATTGGTTGTCTGAGATATCGCCCTGTGCATCAGCATTTATTTCCCGGAGCCCTGCAGGTGTACCAGGGGCCTGGCAGGCGCGCACAAGCTCGAAGGGCCGTTGTCGTTTTCGCCTCAGTCCAGGGGTCTGTATGGAACCCCAACGAAGGCGCACTGCACTCGTGGCGGCTCTGTGCCAAAGTGACGCACTCTTTGCCCGCAGGTGCTAGGTTTGTACAGGGCCCAGGAGCGGCCATTTCCTTTCCCCATGCGCTGCGCCTCTGTGCGAACGCCGCTATGGCCTACTAGGGTCAAAGGGCAGGGCCTAGTAGGGCCTACCAGGGCCAAATCGATTGATTTTGACGTCGTCCCCGACTTGATCCACCATGCAGTACATGAACAGGGGACTTCCCTGGCTCTCCGGCAAGGGGCATTCCAGAGACTTGGTGGATCCCGCGAACTTGCTGTTGCAGTAAAACTCGCAGAGGCGACTCTCTGGATCGCAGTAGACCGCCACAAGGTCGCCCTCCTGGGCACCAGGGTGGCCTGCCGGGCCTTCTCCGGAAGGAGTCAGCTTCTGCCCTCCGAACAAAAAGACGGGCATGGTGGAGAAGATCCAGGTCTTCTCGGTGCTGAGATTCCCGAAGCCCGAGTCCTTCTCCATGGAACTTCGGTCGTACGTCACGCCGAATGAGATCTCATCTCGGCTCCGGATCACATCAAACTCGCAAAAGCAAGGCTCCAAGATTTGGTGGCGAAGGAAGACGTTGTTGGAGTCCGGCGCCCCGGACGTCTTCTTCAGCCTGGAGACGGGNNAGCTGCAGCTCCAGTGTTTGTTCGTCTGGCGGAAGGAGCTGTAGGAAGCTCTCCACAGTTTTCTCTTCATCCATCCGCTCGCCCTTGCAGAGCAGGCGAAAGCTGACAGGATCTAGTTGCCAGGTCTTGGCCACGGCATCTTTGATGCTTTTCCCGGTCTCTGTTCCTGGAAGCTTCAGCTGTAGGGAGCGTCCAACAAGGTCGTGGACACAGACTTTCGACATGGCTGTTATAGTGTTGGCCGCTAGGACGCTACAAGCGTGTCCCTGGACTCTTAGTGGCGCTGCGAGCTAAGCTACAGCTAAGGCAACGCAGCACCCGACATATCCCTCCTACAGCAGCACCCCACTCCTATCTCGATCAAACTTGCAGGCACTGGGGCACGTAGCCATCGGCCTTTAAACTTTAGATCAACACAGTAGGCGTCCTCAACGCCAAAGGCGCCGCCCCTCTGAGACGATTTGCTGAGACAGTTTGAAGGCCAAAGGCTTATATTTCGATCGTCGAAGCTGCAGGGAGTCGCCATTTGCCTGATGCTACTGAACACATGCAATTTACGTCGACATGGCGCCGCGAACTCGCTCGTCTACATTCGTTCCAACAAGCCTATAAGGGAGTCATTAACTTTAAGCAGGATCCTTTTCTGTATTTGCCGAGCAGGGACGCAGCTTGTAAGACGCAGTACGCAATAGCAGGAAGCCAGGCCTGTCAGCAGTTGCCGGTTTCCGTCTTCGGTCAAAACTAGCAAAACTTGCTTGGTATATATTTATTTATGCGCGCATTTTTGGTATGGTTTCTACAGGTGTTACTTCGAGGTAAAAGGCTCAAGGTGGTTCATTATGAGGCAGAATATGTGCCCTGTTTGGGTGGTTGGAAGTATTACAAGATACCAGCAGTGTTGTTATCCAATCATGGCTGTCGCTGCTACAGAAATCCTGCTTCGCGAAAGCGGAAAGTGCCAGGATCCACCCAGCATGGTATTCCACAGTTTCAACTCGGGAAATCTGAACAAATGGGCAGTCAGTGCTCCTGTCCCTTGGTCGTCATCATAGACTGATATTCTAGTATACGCACAGCCCATATTTAAATTCCAACGCCCCTATATATCTAACATATTCAATGTTGCACTTGGTCATCGTCTTTTCGCCGGTATGAGGAATGAAAAGAACGGGGTCCGTTGGCGATATGCAGCAGCTGATACAGTTGTATCACATGCCACATGCACGCAAACATGACAAATTCATTTGTGCATGTACATATAATTACATATATACAGACGGATAGCGGTTTTCGAAAGGTGCCGAGCAGGCGTGTAAACCCATCTATCGATCTGTCTACTTATTACTATTCGTTTATCTATCCATCTACCTATCTATCTATCTATCGATCCATCGATCTATCTCCGCTATCGCATACTATAGGATTTTAGTGTATTCCATTGCCTTGATTTACATCAGCTCATGCTAGATTGCCTACCGATAGCCTACAAATGTTTCCTTACATCATTTTAGATACATCTCGTGACATTACGTTCCGTTACAATACCTTACAGTACGCTACATAACATTTGTTTTTCTAAAGTACATTGAGTTACATTGCCTTACTTTGCAGTGCATAATCTACATGGTGTTACATCCGTACACTGTTGCGTACATGCATAACTGCATATGTGCGTACATACGCACCTGCATGTATGTAGACTGTAGACACATGTACAGACACAGTGTATGGTTGGGGCTGCTGCGTGGAACTGCCCACGTAGTACGGTCTTCTTTGCATGTACCCAACCTTCGAGGCAACTCATTTCTAGAGATTTTGCTCTCAGTGGTTTCAGGAGGGATGGTTTTTCGAAGTGGTTGCGACACGGTGCGTTCGCAGATCTAGTGATCGATCGAGGTTTTCGGGGCTTGCGGTTGCCACTCGAGGACCTGGAAAAGTTTGTCATTTGCCAGCATGTGTGTTTGGATATATGCGTAGATCCAATGACAACAGATGCCAGGCGACACAGGTGAGACGCAGCCCTACAGCATCCGAAAGCTTCAGGGTTCCAAGGGTTCCGAGCACGAGACTGTAGTGTGGGTGGACTAGCGTGCGGTGCATGATTCCGGTATGTCACTTAAACCTCAACCCACACTTCCCGAAAAGCTGTATGAGCGGTTACATGCATCAACCCTCCTGATAGGATGCCGAATCGCCTGCAGCTCCAGAGATCCAAGTTGCTTGGCCGAGAGTTGTGTTTTGGGGATCACGGTTTCTGGGTTTTGGGCTTCGGCTCCTGATCAGGTTTCAAGCTGGGTGGTACAAGATTTCCAGAAGGGTTTGATACGGCCTCATACCGGTAGATACAGTTAGTAGCGATTGGCCGAATGTTGTTGTTTTTTTTTTTTCAGGGCTGTCGGTGCAGAGAGTCTAAAGCGTTCGGCTTTCAGTTCTTGCGGAATGCACATGTATATAGATAGAGAGGGAGAGAGACACAGCGATATCGGCGATATACGTAGACAGATGAGTGTTCGAACAAGTTTGTGTTTTCTAAGTTAGAGTGGTTCTTCGGGCGGTGTAAGCTTGCTGTCTTGGATGTTGCGGAGGTGGTTTGTAATGCGTTTCAGAGACCGGGTGAGGTAGTAGGCAACGTGGAAACTAATTAATTGTACACATATATATATATATACACATTCATGTCCTTATATATACTGTATCACGCGCAGTTACTGTATTGTAGCCTTGCCGCCGACCCGAGTTACGATGGTCCGTCGCATTCTTACTTATTGGCCACCGCAGGAGCAGCAAGTACTTTAACAACTAGACGACGAGTGTTAGATGCTTCCAAGCACAATATCGTGGGGTGGACACGAGAGGTGCGCGGTTTCCTGTCGTGGTCGCATAAAATACGGTTGAGTACTTCATGGGATACCGATGCCTAGCGTGAAACCTTAGTATGGAATCCCAGAGCTTTGCCTGCAACACGAACAGACTAATGCAAAACCTACACAGGCAACCCTAAATCCTTAAATCCTGTCTAGGGCACAACACTTCACGGTTCCAGCTCTCCATGTGCATCGGTAGCTCCTAGCTGCTAGCTCGTCAGCTGCAGGCAAGGACCAATGTGCCCGTAGGACGCGCAGCCCACATTATGACATAGAAGCCTGAACACTAACCCATATAATAACATACTTGAGATATGTATGCACTATACCATTACCGCAGATTTCAATTCGTGGTTCACAGGATTCGAGTCCCTATACTTCTCAGTTGGCCTGGGAGACTACAAAGCTCGATAGATGATGCTTCATAGGGTTAGTGTTGCATGACATGTTCCGTTTGTAGACCTCGGCGTATGAGTAGGAGCGATTGCTCAAACCGGGTGCGAGGTTTCACCAAATTCCTTCTCGGCGACAACAGCCACGAGACCTGACTGCATCCTAGTTGGGGGGCTTGGGCCCTGAACTTCTGAAGCTTGAGGAGCGTTTGGGGGGTCTCTGTTGGAGTTCGAGATTGAGCGTTCTGGTTTGACACCCATGGGGACAGTTCTTTTTAATCTTGACCCTTGGTTACTACCCCNNCCCCCCCCCCCCCCCCCCCGCAATGAGGATTTGACTGGGGATGCCAGTCCTAAGCCTTACACTTTAATTTCCTAGGTCTTACACACGTAAATATGTGAAGGCCCATGAAGGCATGCAGCTTGACGGAGGGTGCATCGCTTCCGGGTTTCCCGAGATGATCGATCGGGGATCTGAACTGCCGTCGACATGCACATCGTGGGACCTTCGCCCCAGCCGTATCTACCTTAAGACGCAGGTTTTAGGGACGTGGTGTAGGATTTAGGCTGCAATCGATTTCCAAACCCGGAACCTGTGACCCAAACTGTTTGCTTTCTAGGTACGGCTGAGTCTGCTGTCATTTTTTACGTCCTTAAAAACGTTGCTTCCTGGGGTGCACGGTAAACCTTAATACATCACACCGTCATACCCCAACCATTGTATAACAGTTTCGTCTTCTATCGTGATGGGTTTCGAGTTTAGGACCCAAGAGCCGTGAAGTCTATTCAAGTTGTTGCAAAGTCGTAGTGTAAGCCCCAACCCCGACACGCCGAATCATAAACCGAGACCGCCAAATACCCCCTAAACCCCAAATCTTAACCCCTATAAACCCCGAATCTTAATCCCTAGAAATCCCAAATCTTAACCCCTATAAACCCTAAACCTTGTAGTCGTATTCTAAGTGTCCGCAGTGAGGAGTATGGAGGGGCTCAGTTCCTGCTGGGGGCTCGGGACACCAAGCCTCCCGGTGGCAAGAAAGAAGCCCAGATAGAAGCTTTGAGAATTTACCGGGGGAGGCGGAGTTCCCTTGAGGGGTTAGTGTAAGGGTGTGGGGTTCATCGTTTTTACTATGGGGACCTTCATGAAGTAGGGCTTCGGGCCCGGGTATGTTTTTTGGTAGTAATTATATACTTGATGAAAAGGGGATACTAGTCGGCCCACTACAATAATTAGGGCCGCGAAGCTCATGAAGCCTCAAGCCCTAAACCTGAGTTCAAATTCCTCAAGGCCTCTAATCCCATGGCCCCGAAGTCTTAACGTCCATAGCCATAGCCATGATTTTTGAGGGCTTTGGGGCTTCAGGAGATAACTGGGGGCGGGGGTCGTTATCGGTTTTCTCACGGCACGCATTGAACGATTTGTTTTGGATTTGAGGTCAAAGCTTCAGAGGCCGAAAGGCGATTTGAATCTCTCTCTCTATATATATATTTATGTATTTATTTATGCATGTATGTATACACATTGAGAGAGAGAGAGAGAGAGAGAGAGAGAGAGCGCGAGCGAGGGCGGGAGGGAGGGAGGGAGGGACTGATCACCCAAGTTCCATACCCCACCCTAAACCCGAACCCTAAACCCGAATACCATTTAAATATTTATCCCCCACTCCCTAACCCTGCACATTTGCCATAATGCCCTATGAGCCTTAATACGTAACACTGCAGATTTGCCCAACAAACTCCAACACCCTATACCCTATTACCCTACACATTCATTCCCAAACCCTACACCCCCCGAAATCCGCCCTTTATGATTAGGATAGGTTCCTTTACAAGAAGGGTTTCCTTCAGGGAGCCCTTTTCAAAGGAACCCATGAATAGGTCCCTTAAAGTGAAGGATCCCCTTCCAGTGAGTCCCCAACGCCTCAGAACTCATAGGCTCCCGGCCCCGCGTGGTGCGCGAGCGGCCGCGGCAAACCCCGCCACCGCCCTCGCCGCCCGCAGTGGGCTCTACGAGTCTGCGGGGGCCTCGGGGTTTGAGGGTTTAAGGGGGCTCAGGGTTTAGTTTCAGGTTTAGTTGAGGTGAGTAGGGGCGGAGCTGGTGATTTGGGGCTTTTCCGGTTCATGGATGCAAGAGTTTTACGGCTTCATCCCTTGCAAGCCTGAGGCCGCGAACGGATCAGTTTTTTGCAGCTTGGGGCTTAGGGTTAAGGCTTTCAGGCTTTGGGGGGTTCGTTCGTCGGATCGGGTGCAGGGCGCTGAGGCCACACATCGGTGGCATATGACTTGCTCAGTTTCGAAGAACTGTATCATTCCTAAGCCCCGTAATCTTCGAGTTGAGCTCAAAGAGCCTTCGACTTATCAGTTCTATCGTCTTGCACGTGTATGGATGCGGCTCATGGGTTCGACTAGGCGGTACAATATGTAGAGCACACCACCTATCGGTCGGTTGGGGATCACGCTGACGTTGGAAACCCTGAGCCCGATGAAGCTTGAATCTTAGTTCCTGAAGCCCTGCGCGCAGCGGAAGGGTTGTGAACGCTGCGGCCGGAACTGTTCGGAACAGTGCTTCAATGCTTTGGTGGCCCACCTCCGATATGAAAATAGCATTTATGTCCCTTGACCTCGATGCGCAAGTCGATTCAGTACGCCAGAAAGCCTGGCCACAGTTTAGGGAGTTAGGTGTTTATAGGGTTTCGGAACTCTAGCACTCAAGCCGAACTCGGGGAAAGTAGTCGGACGTTGTGGGAGCCCCCTGCTCTGCGTGTTTTTTGTGGGTGTCTCATGTGGTTTGTCGAGAAAGCCCGCTGTTGTCGAGTTTAGGGTTCAAAAACCCTGCGCATAATAGATCCCGGTGGTCTGCCCGCCTTTGATGCCGCGGCCCTTTCAAACCCTATGAGACTCCGAACCGCAGTGAACCAAAATCCTCCCACTATTTTGACTTGAGGCCTCTCCACGAAATGTACGAAGTCTTGCTCGCCCAAGAGCATCAGATCTGCAACAACAAGGCGTTTGGACTTCAGAGGTTTAGGTTTAGGGAGGTTTAGGGCTTGCAGAGAGTTTTGGACAGGTACTGTAACTCATGATTTTGTCCATCACGACATACGCCATTCACCCTTCAATCAGCTCTTCCCTATCCTTTGGTTTCGGCCCCTGGGCGCAGAGAGCACCCCTAAAACGAGAACCCGGATTAACAACTCCTCCGGAGATCCTAATATTGAGGCCGTCAGCGAGAGAGGGTGGATAGTGCAGGTCTGGAAGGCCTTGACTTCAGATGACTCCTCAAGCAAGACACAGAAACCCTTTGTTGACCAGCAGTCCCTACAGTTACTCAGACGGTATTGGGACGTTTAGGATGAATGTGAATCCTTGCAACAATCTTTCTTCACCTACTTGAACTGCAAGAAACGGCAAAGCCTGTAACAAAAAATACAGCAACCTGTTGCACGTCGTGCAGTGCAAAATCCGCTATAGCACCTTTAGAACATCCATTCGTTAAGCTCCTTATAATCCCTTGTAAACACCACATAGAAAGCCTTGCAAACTCTTGTGCAACCCTATCAAAGCTTTGTAAAGCCCTTATAACTTATAACCTTAAACCCTAAACCCCGTCAAAGCTTCGTAAAGTCCTTATGACGCATCCTTGTTTCGCAGGCCCGGGTCTCCGCGCTGCAGCAGATGCTTTTGCAGCAGCTGGAAGAGCGCAAGACCTTCGGCCAGGATCTTATATAGCATAAGGGCACTATGAGGGTTCTATGTGGCTACTTTCAGGTTCTTAAAGGGTGACTAGGGTGGTGTTGGTGTTACTGGTTGCTGGGGCGGTATTGGGGGTAACTCTCAGGACTCTAAAGCTGTTGCAAGAATGAGCTTGCGCTGGGTCTTCTGGGCTATAAACGTTCTTCGTTGGACAAGGGCTTTACAAGGATTCTGAAATTACTTAAGTCATTGGGCTTCATTCCGGGTGGTTTCAAATCAAGGTATAGGAGAAGATGCCAAGCTCAGGAAGACAAAGTCTCTGAATGCCGAGATCGCCAAGCTCTCTGTGCCTCGGAAGCATGCGTGTTGCCCACCAGGCCGGAAAGCCCAAAGCTCAAATCACGCCCAGATCTCAGCAACACCAGGACGCTTGAAAACACGACGAGAGTAAGACGTTGGAACAGACATCCAGGGGCCTAAATGAGGCTCCTGTAGCACACCACGAGACCCATGCCTAATCGCAGAATGGACTAGCTCCAGAGCAGAACGCCATGCCAAATGAGCGTGATGCTTTAAAGCTTGAAGAAGCTAGTCCCAAATCCTCATGTTTCAATATCACCCCATCTCGGAAACTCAAACCTAAGCCAACCTTGCGTGCGAGGCGAAGAATGCTGCGTCCCACAATATAATAGGGTTTCGGGTCTACGGCGACTTGACACCAGGAGGTAAAGAACTAAATTGGCCTCAGCCTCATGTGCACCTTGACCAACATGATGTGTAGGCGCTTCGATTGTCAGCAAGGCTACTTCGCGTGTATTAACCTTATGTCTACGAATATGTGCGCACCTGTCGATGTTACTGCAATCACGACGATCCCCAAAGTCTTCTTCTGTTCAAAAACACGAGTACAAAGACATTCACACATACAAAAGGAGAGAAAGCCTCATTCCGAATCTCCGAACCCTCAACCGAAGTCAGAACAAGCACATATGAACAGATCCATCCGCCCCAGGCAAAGCAAAAGGAGATGTTGGCACTCTCCGAAGATCAAAAGGTGCTGTTGCGCTTGATTTGAAGGATCAGGTAAAGCGTTCGATTTCGTGTATTATTGTAGACTGTGAATAAAAAAATCAGCAAATGTTTAGCAACATCCCCGCATAGGGGCGTCGGGATATGATATCAGGTTTTTTGTATAAAGTTTATGTTTGCCGGTCGTTCTGTTGGAAAAGCAAGCCGGGGCTCTTTGAGCCCTGAACTGTGAACCGTTGGCATAGGAGTAGCCCCTCACAACAGTCGAACACCAACCAAACATCCGGTACTGTAGGCGCCTTATATATTAATAATTATCAGCACTACTTTGGGGGTTCCAAGGCCCCTACAGTATGGGAAGGGCGACCTGGAAGCCCTCCTGTGCACCTTGTGTCCGGAGCCGTGAACCTATCAAAAACCCCCAACCCCTCGACACCGCAAGTTTAAGGTCCTCTAACCGCGCACGATGAACCTCATGTGAATCTGGCTTCCGGAACCCTTCTTGAGTACCCTTTCGAGGATCTTAATCATAGAACCTAGAGGAAAGCTACCCTAGCATTATGCGGGATCCGATTGTGCGTGTCTTTGCTGCTGGTAGCCTCCTTGCAGGTGCAGCTCCACAAAGCGAAATTGCACCGCCAGGCTCTGTATCAGGCTGGATCGACCTGGAAGACCCCCTGAAATCCTCATTTTAGGGGGCCTTCTTGCGCAGCCCCCTTATTCAGAAGGAATGGCTTATCGGCTCCTCAGGATTCAGAGTCCCGATATGCACGGAGCATGTTAGTATTAGGGTACCTCCTTGGCAGCACAACTGCACAACGGAGAAGCTTGAAGCCCTGCCAATGACCTCGCTTGGCTTGTCCAAGTGCGAGCGCCGAAGCCCCGAACCCATAGACTCCCTCGGAACCCACACGATTCCCGTAGAGAGAAGCCTGATCAAGCATGATCAAGCCCTTCTTGAACCGCAGAGTCCTTTCCCCGGAGATTTAAAAACAGGCCCTACAGCTCGAATGCCGCAAGCCCTGAAGCTCTAGAACCCCTAAAGACAAAAGCCCTAAAGCTCTAAAATCCGTAAACCCTACAGCCCCCAAACCCCAAAACCCGTAGATCCGAAAGCCCCCAACATGCCCTGACCAGGAAGTGAGGCGGCTCAGGGGCCCCGGGAGGAGACGAGCGAATGTATTCGGGGGACGGGTTTTGGGGTTTAGGGCTTAGGGTTTATGGAGTTCAGGCTTTACGGTTTAGGGGTTTCATGTTTTGGGGTTTACGGTTTTGGGGTTTAGGGCAGCGAGGCCTGCTGTAAAAAAGGGCAGCAAGGGCAGCAGTCGAGTTCGTTGTGAAAAAGGGTTTAGGGGTTTAGGGTTTATAAGGGGGTTCAAGCTTTAGGGTTTAAGGGGATCAGGGTTTAGAGTTTTGGGGTTTTGGGGGTTCAGGCTTCAGGCCTTTAGTTTCTAGGTGGGCTTTAGGGTTCTTGAGGTTATTTTGTAGCACAGGGGCCTTAACTCATGCCTCTGTACTCATAGATCCGTACAGGAAGCTCCTATTCTACTCGCCTAAGTCTTCAGACCCCTACATTACCCTTCTGACGGGTTCCGCCGGCTACGGGAATGCAGTTTGTCTGCACTGTCCACTTCTCGTCTTCGGGAGCTGTCATGGCCGCCGGCGGTTGCACGTCTTGTGCACCAGACGGGAGCCACACATTATATCTTTGGGCCCCACAAAGAGAACTAACCGTCATTGTCACACAGAATGTTGGGCCCTAAGGCCCGTATTCATCTAGATCCGAAAGCCTCATCTATAGAATGAAACCTATAAGCCAAGTGTCGACCCCACATTTAGAACCCTGAACCCTATAAAGCCCACGTAGAGCCCTCATAGCGCATTTTTGAAACGCCGAAGGAGGCGGGCCTCATCGGTGCCCAACGGCAAGGCCACGAATGCCTCGATGGAGGCGAACGTTTCGATTTGTTTAGAAATGGTGTTGGTTTGGATTTCATTTTGAAGTTTGAGGGTTTTCGGGTTTGGGGTCTCGTTTTTGTTTTGTGTGTCTTTAGTTTGGTGTTTCCTGGTTTTGAGAAGCTTCTGAACCTTTCCAACGACTGAGAAGGTTGGTTGCATATGGCTGCTGGCTTTTGTCGGCTTCTTTATGGAGTGTTAGTATTCTGGAGTGTATGGTTCCACGCTGTATTTTTTGGAGTACTCCATGACGAACCTGGGTTCCAAAATGCCGATACCGGAACCCTAGACCAACGCATGGGACGGAGATTACGCATTTTTTCAGGGTCCGACTATAATAAATATATAGATCACAAATGATAGTATCCTTTCTCATTGCTGGATCCATATTGAAGGGATGCCAATGCTAGTTTGGCTGATACCCCCTCTTCAGGAACAAGGTCTCATTGCGTGTTCGGTGCTTCCAGATCCTTCAAATGATTGCCCCAGGTTTGGTTCTCAGGTCCCCATGCACTCGCCACAGAACCCGAGCAACTCCAAGATTGCCTGGATTCGTTAAGCTGTCAAGCTGGATACCCCAAGACAGCATGCTGGTACGGGCACGACCTGGACATATACCGTCATCACGGGTTACACACAAGAGTGCACGTTGCATGACATTTACTTTCGTTTACCGAGCTCGACTACTGCTACTGCCAGGTCGATGACGGTGATGGTGATGATGATGATGATGATGATGATGGTGGTGATGGTGATGGTAGACGGCGATCTATGACGAAGATGCAGATCATACTGGTGTTGACGATGATGCTGCAACGGCTCCTGCTGCTGAAGAGCAGCAATAGCAGCAGCAGGAGGAGGAGAAGGAGGAGGATCCTCAGTACAGCGCAGTAGTCACGACTCGGGTTTATGATGAGGATGGTGAAACGCCCATAACCTTTGTCAGCTTTCAGCATTGTCGCCAGCATGACTGTGCTCGCGAGGCCGTGCCTTGCAAGAAGGACGAACGTGGTATCGCTCAGAAAGGTGACCGACGGAGACTGTAGCCTTCGGGGCACTGGGGATTTCAGAGTGTTGAGGAGGGTTCAGGGACTTAGGGTTTTGGGGCTCAAAGGTTCATGCAAAAAATGCGTTTTAGGCATTCGGAACCAGTGTGCTTCGGAGATTTCAGGCTGGGAGCCGTGAAGATCGGGCCTGAGACGTGGAGTCATACAAAGCCACCTTTTGCCTCTGCTGTACATACCGGAACTGTCAAAGCCTACGTTAGGACTGAGGTTCAGGTCCAGAGATGTTTTGGACCCCCACCCCTGAACCTGCCCTCGAAGTCGAAGCATCCCGAAACTCTGAAGCCTGATTAAGCTTTGCCCCGGAAGATGCGCTAGGACCTATAGGGGAGTTTCCGAAAATTAGGGGTACCTTCTTTTGGGGTCCTTATAATAAGGATCCTATTATTTAGGGTACTATATTAGGTTCCCCTATTTTCGGAAACCCCCAATAGGACCCAGTCTCATAGAGTTTACAGCGCCTGGCGGGAAGAAGGCAAATCTGCCATCCCGGCGCGTCGGAACAGCTCGCCACCGACGAGCCCCGACTCCGGACCAGGTCCCCTGCTTGAAATACCGCAAAAATCCACAACACTTGGTAGTAGAGTAGGGAATCTCTAACCTTCTTGGGGTATTATAACCCCCATATAATTTAACCGGTTATAGCCTTTATTTCAGTTTTGCTAGGATGACTGGACAATGGCTAGCCATCCATCCCAGTTGTGGGTTCTTGGACTCGTAGGGCCTCAGCGTTCTTTTGTAACGGTTTAGGGTTCAATGTAGGGGCTTCATAGGGACCCCTCGAGCGCGAGCCTTCGACTTTAGCCGATTGAAGTTCGAACCAGAGTTCTCCGTTAAACGGGTTATAGAGGTTTGATTATTATAACTATAACTACCCTAGGTCCAAAGTGCCTTATAATTAGGCACTTGGGTGTAGGATAATTGAAGGGTGTTCAGGTTTTCATAAGGAAAAGTGTTTGGGAGGGTACATGATGACTGGACGCTTAGGCCTTTGGGCTTAGACAAGCTCAGTTTGCCATACACACCAATCCCAAGAGAAGCGGATTTGGGGCCCCACGTGGCGCCCGGAAAGCCGAAACTCCATAGACGAATTCCTGCACTCGTAAACTGCAAGGCCTCAACCTTGCAAGCCCGCGAACTTCAAAATCCTAAACCCTACAGCCGTTTAAAGGCTTATACTTATAAGCCCCTAAAACCCCCAAGCCTGAAAGTACCCAGAGCCCTGAACCACCCCGTGCGCACGGACATCCTAGTCTTAGCAGTCTCTAACTCCATAAGGGGAGTTTCAGAAAATTAGGGTACCTTATTTTGGGGTCCTTATTATAGGGATCCTATTCTCTAGGGTACTATATTTTTTGTCCCTATTTTCGGAAATCCCCATAAGCCTCCGGCCCGTTGGAGACAGGTCCGCAGCGCAGCTCATCGGCTGCTGCACTCAGGCTGACTGCTTCGGCTAAAATTTATAGCCCGAAACCCTTTCGACTCCAAGTTGAAACCAAGCCCTGAGCCCTGGGCCCTAGGCCCTTATACCCCAAAGCCCGACAACCTCAGTCTTTCTTGATCCCTCTGCCCGCAGGGGGCCGAAACAGAGCAAGATGGAAGGGACAGAAGGCGGGCACGGCATGAGAAACCGTTTTTGATTTCATGCAGCGTGAGCTGGGGCAACTTGTGGGGTCGTTTGTTCCAAAGTCTACCTGACGCAAGTAGTTTACAACCCTCTCCCAGCGCCCGGAAGCGCAGGACAACCTGGCACTGATAGCCCTCGCAGCCTTCGCCGAGGTCAGCGGCTCACTGGGGATTTCTGAATATTCGCGGCAAGTGGATGTCGGGGTGCTCCAGAGGAAGGCCTTCCCTTTTAAGATACCGAACCCTCGACCCAACTCCAACTTGAAGGACTTCTGTGTCTCGACGTCCGGAGACCTTGTGTTTATGCAGCGTCCTTGGCGGCCCCATAAAACCCCCGAGAAAGTCACTAAGCCGCAACAACAAAGCACACGCCCTAACCAAACGAGCAACATTTCTGGCAATTACATGCTGGACGCCAACGCCAGTCCAAAGCCCAAGCCCTAAACTCTCCGAGTGGACGCAAGAAAGGACTTCAGCAAAAAGCAACCCACACCTAGCCGTCGAGGTCGCAGCACCTCAGCCACGACACTGCACAGGAACGGTTCTCGGCCTGATTTCATAGGCCAAGGCTGTAAGTGTTCAGGTTTAGGGCGTCGGGCATAGGTTTTGCTGGGTTTTAGGGTTTATAAATCCCAGATAAAGCTTTGAAGTCCAAAGCAAACCTCCCATGAGTCAATGAGGACCTCCCGCAAAACCCCGAATACTACACTCCAAACCCCAAATCCCCAAATCCCAACCCCCTGAAGACCCAGAGTCTCTCGAGGATCTGTAGAAATCCTTATAGAGACCTGACAGACCCCCCGGGCAAAGTCCCTAAATTATGCAAGCCTGAATACATACTGAATATTATTCCTCAGGTTCCTCACCATAACTGAAACATATAGGCCCAACCCATATCATATTTCGATTGCAGCACTGTGTCTTCTCGTCGTTGTTATGGGGGGTTCGGACTTTCTCTTCTTATGATCATCATACAGAGATTTTTATGTACAGCCCGCTGCTTCTACTGTATTCCTAGGTACACACGTGCCCACTTCATCCAGCTTTAGTCATGCTTCAGCCCAAACACTCAGACTCCCATCCGCTGACTTTCAGCTCCACGCAAAAAGGGGACTTTCCAAAAATTAGGGTACATTATTTTGGGGGGTCCTTATAATAAGGATCCTATTATTTAGAGTACTATATTAGGGTCCCCTATTGTCGGAAACCCCCAACATCCCGGCTGCAGGAGCAAGGCTTTCCTCCTGCCTCCGGGAGCCAAGGCTCCAGCGCCGGCATGTCAAGGCGGCTTTCGGGCTTAGGGTTTAGGGTTTAGGGACCGGGATGATTGGGCGTCATACACCCCCTGACATTGAGATGCGCAGCAACAGGGAACCTGACTTAGGGACAGACATGTCGAGAAAGTTGGAATTGGCCACTTCATCCCGAACCTGTGAGCTCTCTAAGCCCGAAAAGCCCAAACCCTGTGCTTCCGATCGTGAGACTTCTCTTGTTGCAGGCTACTCAAAGTGACGTACTCTCCTGGCCGTGGTCACCGTCCCAATAAAGCCTGAATTTAGAGAACCGCCCACACCCCCAGATTCCAATGCCACTCGGTTAAGATCTCCTTACAAGAACATGGGCTTGTAAACCTTCAACCCTAAAACCCCCCGAATCGCGAGTTGAGGCCCTTAAAGACGACGATGTAGGGTCGAGAGTCAGACCCTTATTGAGGGTACCTTCATATAAATATGGAGTAGCTTACCATAAAACCCTATTTCAATTAGTTAGGCCCCAATGCTAAGCCCTAAACCCAAACCCTTAACTTTGTTTGTTTTCACACCGACTGCGCCCAACAGACCTCGCCTGAATTGTCCGAATTGCGAGAGTGTGCAGGAACCCTTTGGAAGCCCTGAACCCTAAGGCCCTGGTGTTCGAGGCTTCCCCGGTCGCTCGGAGACACAGCGACGGCGTAGCGATGGCGACCTCGTACGCAACCGATGGCGCAGAGGCCCCGACATCCCTGCGAGGCTTGTGAGTGATAGTTAGGAACACGACGCAGAAACCCTGGGTCCGTCTATGCATCCGAAGATTTTTGGGGTTGTAGGGCCAGTGTTTCTACCTCGTCCTAGTTTGAAGTTTCGGGTGCGGGGCTACTGGGGTCAAGGCTTTGTAAGATGATTTTCTGAACATGCCACATGAGGCAGGGTTTAAGCTACATAGGGTTTTGAACAGTTGGGTAGTTGAGGCATTCTGGGTTTGGGGCCTCAGGCGCTTAGGTTTTACAGTATCGGGCTTTTTGGGCTTCAGGGGCTTAGCGCGGTGTTAGAAAATGCCTAGGCTTTGGGGAGGCACGGCTCTAGCAGGTTTTCGACAATTCATGTCCTCAGCCCTTGAACCTTTGGTCTCCTTAAAAGATTCGGCATCGCCTTTCAATATGTGTTTAAAAAGCTGTATGTTACGGTTAGGGACCTGTGACAATGACGTAAGGAAGCCACGGACAGGGACAGTTGTTTCGAGCCAGGTGTCACAGGCCCTCCCACCCGCCCGCCCACCCACTCACCCACCCACCCGAAGTAAGCGCTGCACACATTCATGTTCAGCATCTACGCGTCTGACCGTGCAAGAGTTACAAGACAACAGTGATGGTCTCGATAGGGACTCAACCCCCAAACAAGGCAAAGCCCAAAAAACTAAACTCCACATGCACGCCGCGTAGGCTATAGCAAGCAGAGACGACTAGGTCCAAAGAGCCTCGAGAGTTGTTCGAAACTATTCGGAATGCTTGGGGGCTCTAGCTCGCCAGGTGACGTTGCACGTCTCCAGCTGCAGGCCAGGCCAGTCCCTACTCGTATGGGTGGCTTTTGTATTAGATCTCTAAGGGTTATAAGCTTTAGGGTTTAGGGGTACGAGAACTCTGGGGCTTGGAGGCTTTAATCCCTCGGGGTGTTGTTTGTGGTTAGGGGATCCCCGAATAGGCTTCCCGGATCCCGATTTCCTGATGAAGCGCATATCTTGATCAAGGGTTTCTAGGAAGTGCCACCACATCATCTTTTGAGCTCCCAACAGGAGCTGCACGAATCGGCGCAAGTGGAGGAGCAGCACTCAGGCACCAACTGGGGTTCAGCATGAAGTGTTTCAGGATTCACTCGTGTTCCCGAATACGAAGATTGTCCCTGGAACCTTGGGCTTGTTAGAGTAGTGCAGCGCAGCAAGAGAGTTATCACAAACCGACAACATGTACGAGGGGGTGGTGGGGGGCCGGAAGGGCCCGTGTAAGGAATATGGCCGTTTGTAGTTCTTTTGTGGAGGGGAGGGTGGTTTCTGGACCCACTGCATGAGAGCTCTCAGGGCTGTAGGGGCCAAGGATGTGTATAGCTAAAAACCTGCGAGCTCCTGTCAGGAGAATGCATATACAAACCTGCATTCATGGTGTATAACGTATGTTTAAATATACTAGGATACCCTGAGACCTGGCTCTTCGAGTAGAAGACCAGGGTGTTTTCCAGAAGCCTTACGTACTTAGTCCCATGATCCTCCAAGCAGGGGTTAAATATACGTATGTACATGTGTATATATATATATATGCATATATATATATATATATATATTTATTCACATATATATATATATATGTAGATATGTATATATACATATATGTATGTATATGTCTGTATATATATATATATGTGTATATATATATATATATACGTACATATATATATATATATATATATATGTGTGTGTTCTTGGTCGTTTCTGTACAGACGTTCTGTATCGGCACGTATGGCCTCATGCATGTAGAAGACGTCGATATCTTAAGGCCACGGCCGTTTGGAAAAGGTTGGGCTTCGTTAACCAGGGGCCTTGAACCCCAGAGCATTAAGCAATTAGTTCCCTAAGCGAACCCTTGGTTGAAGGACCCTGCGATAGAAAAGAGCTCGACACACAAAGCCTTGATCCGGCTTAGCTCGAGAAGTAATGCGCGGAGAACTGAGGAACCCATGCAGCACAGTGTCACCCGATGCAACCTCTCAGATTCGGTATGAAGGTTTTGGGGCCGGGATTAACTGGGATTATGCTTACGGACCATGTCGAAGTCAAAGTGCGTGACTTCCACCCATCAGTCCGAAGCTAGCGCTAAGCTAACCTATCTACCCTCTGCCTTCATCCTGCCAATCCTGCTACTACTTCTACCATTGCTACTCCCGCTATTATGACGAATGATAAGGCCAAGACGGATATTATATAACTACTAGAGCTATTCATACTACCCAGTATTTCTGGCGTAAGAACGACTTGATCTTTGAAGACCCTTCGGGCTCGTGCTGCAGGTCGTAGCTCCTCCACGGCCGGGATGAGCAGGATGCTTGTGCCACGGTTTAGGGTTTTGGGTTTAGGGTTTATGCAATTGCCGAGAGTAGACAAACCCAAAAGGAGCGGTCTAGGTCATAGCAGATCTTGCCCTCTAAATCATGTGGTCCAATGGCCTTGTTTCAGAGAAGAGTATACTATGAAAAGCCTATCTACATGGTTGTAATCGGGCGGTTCGGT